CCCGCCCGGCGCAGTCTTGCCAAGTCGGCGGGGGGCGTGGCGGGGCGTGGCGGCGGCAGCCCCAGGGTCGCCTTGGCTACGGCTCGGCTCCACGCGGCGGGCGCGAGGAGGACCGGGCCCGCTGCTGGAGAACTGGAGCCGACTCGCGCTGGAGGCGAGCTGGAGGCCGACGGACCGGACGCGACCGGCTCCTCGGCCCCTCTGAGGTCTTTGAAGCGTCTCTAGCAAAGCGCGTCTCCAGCAGATAGACCCTCTCCAGCGCATCTCCCCTCCAGCGATGCTTCTCCAGCGAAAGCCTCTTTAACAGAGGTCTTTTCCATCGAAGTCTCTCCAGCAGAAGCCTTGCCCGGCGAAGTCTCTCCAGCAGAGGCCTTGTCCGGCGAAATCTCTCCAGCAGAGGCCCTTCTAGCGGAGCCTCTCCAGCAGAGGCCTTTCCAGCAGAGGCCTTTCCAGCGAAGCCTCTCCAGCAGAGGCCTTTCCAGCAGAGGCCTTTCCAGCGAAGCCTCTCCAGCAGAGGCCTTCTCCAGCAAAGGTTCTTTACCAGAGGTCTTCTCCAGCGAAGCCTCTCCAGCAGAGGTCTTCTTTCGCGAAAGCCTCTCCAGCAGAGGTCTTCTTTCGCGAAAGCCTCTCCAGCAGAGCTGTTCTCCAGCGAAGCTTCTTTAGCAGAGGTCTTCTCCCGCGAAGGTCTCTCCAACGGAGACCCTCTCCAGCGAAGCTTCTCTACGAGAGGTCTTCTCCAGCGAAGCTTCTCCATCTCCAGCAGAGGTCCCTGCAAAAGCCTCTCCAGCAGAGGTCTACTTCAGCGGAAGCCTCTCCAGCTACGGCTATCCCCCTGCAGAGCACCTCCAGCATGGAACCCCCTTTTGCAGCGATGCCTCTCCAGAAGAGCGCCTCTCCAGCAGCACGCCACTCCCGCTGAGCGTTTCTCCAGCGGAGCGCGTCTCCTCCAGCGCCGCGTGGCCGTCCTGCGGAGGCAGACGCGGGGTGACTGGCCGGGGCCGGGACTGCTGGCTCTGATGAGCCATCGCGCCGTCGCTTCTGTTTCGCCTACACAAGTTCGACTCACACCTTGCCGGGGCCGCGGCTTTGGAGAGTCCAGCAGGCGCACCCATTGGCACTCGGCACTTAGCGCTAACGAGTCTGTCACAAACAAGGCTTTGTCGATGATGTGCGCGCGTGGTTAAAACTTGGAATTTGCTTTCTTGACATTTTGAAATGTGTGTCTGACGTTATATATGTATCACCCTTACGGCCCGACGACGTGCTTTTTAAAGACCTTCCTTGGTAAGGTAAGAAGGGGGGGTGGGGGCGTTACATCTAGTACCAGCCATCCCAAGGTTTTGGAAAGAGTGTGCTCGCGTGACGTCACTCTGACATCACTCTGCAGTCTAGCCGTCGTAAGTCGTACAAACACACACACCACACACATACACAGGGTCACACGTCAAGGCAATAGTGACGTTGGTGATGCTGCACATTTGATGCTGCTTTTGACCGCTTATCCAATTTATGCTGCCGACCTTCCGTGTCGCCCGCTCTTTGTGTATCGTCCGTCATCCGCGTTCCCATAGCAGTAGTACGTAGTAATAGTAGAGTGGCAAATCCACCCGACTTGTCGCTGTCCGCGCCGGTTTTGCTGTCCAATAGTATCGCCTGTCCTTGCGGCTGACCTTTTTCTTCACCCGTTTTGCTGTATTGTTCACTTGTCCTGCGCGGACAGGCGCTGTCGTCCACATCTCGGACATTTATTATCACTATTGCTTCCTTATTCCCTTTGCTTCTGGCACGCGCGCCTTGCTCCGACCGCCCGCATTTCCAGCGTGCGCGCGCGCCGGTTCTATTTTACACTCGTTTTCTTTCGAGAGGGGGGGGGGGGTTGGCGTTGGCTGGAGCTGCTGGAAAGCTGCGCAGGAGAGTAATATGAGTTGCACACGTGGTAAGAAGAATAAAAGAATAGATTGCCAGCTAAATAAGGGGGATGACCAATTATTCAGCCAGCCAACAATTTTCGCTATGCAGCTCAAATTATTGTTGACTAAAAAATTAAGCTATACTTGGCAAATTAAGCTATCTAGCGAAAGAAATTATTAATAGCTAAACATAGCTAATTTTATTGAATCAATCATAGCTAAATTCTTGAGCAAACAATAGCTATTTATTTTTAAGCTGAACGAAGCCACTTGTTCAAGCTAAACGTAGAAAATTTATTTTAGCTAATAAGCTCTATTTTTCTGAGCTAAACGTAGCTAAAGCTTTTCCCGTACTTCTGGGCCTCATTTCGTAACGACACGAGGTTCAGACGGACGGACGCCGTGAGGCGGTGGGTGACGGCGGCGCCCGTCTGTCTGTGTGTGTGTGTGTGTGTGTGGCCCCGCCACGCCCCGCCACGCCCCGCCACGCCCCGCGGACTAGACCGGCATCCCAGCGTGGCGAGGTGGGGCGGGGCATCAGGCCAGGCTCGGGTACACTCGAGAGGGAAGGGAAAGTTTGTTCGATAGGCGCGCGCGCGCGTGGTGCGCGGGGCGCGGCGGTGGCTCTGCTGCGCCCGATCCAGCTTAGCGGCGGCATTTGGAGCTGGCCGCCCGAGAATATAATGATGAAGACCCCTGAGAGAGAGAGAGAGAGAGAGAGAGAGAGAGAGAGAGAGAGAGAGACGGGCGCTCGGTGGAGTTCCTTTTGGTTCGACCGAGTTCGCCGCGAGGCAGTGGTGGTGGACTCGTGCGCTGCGAATGCTTCACATGTGAGCAGCTGTTCGCGGCTGGTTAGCAGAGACTAGACTACCTGGGCGGGGTTCATTAGGAACTTTTTTGCGGTGGTATGCTGGAGAGTTCATGGGGTGTACTCTACCAAGTACTATGGTGGTACTCTAGTGGAGTTTCACGAGACTCTCGATGGGTGATATAGCTTTCCAGCAGATGCAGTGTAGTATGGTTGACGTCATCCACGTCTCTAGTTCTGGGCTCGTGAAGCTATCTGTACATAAGAAACCCCCAGGTGTGTGAATGCCGCCGTCGCACACTTTTAAGTGTGTCGATGCCGAGTCACTCACTTGTGCAGCATGTATAAGAGTGTGTAATTTCCTTGGAATTTCGCACACCTGTAGTACACCTACCAGTGTAGGTATATGGCAGTTCACACGCCCCCAAAAGTGTGTGACATTCACACAGTGTAGACCCGTGACGTATAGTACTGGATGCGGTGCGGCTCGGCCCCGGTTGGTCCTGGGGGCGGCATGCAATGCACTGGTTTGGAATGTTGTGAGTCGGGGATGATGGACGGGGCGTAGTGGAGTGGTAACGGCCCACAGTTTGCTGGCGCCGACACACGACTTCGCGTCGGTGGCGCTTGGCGCTCGGGCCGGTGGCGCCTCTAGGGCAGCGGCGGCGGCTCCATCCACCCTCCCCGGTGGTGGTTGTTGGCTGGCGTTTGGCCTTCGGCAGAGCCCCCGCTGCTGTACAGGAACACGACTCGACTCGGAGTTCCACTAAACGTTGTGCGAAACGATCTGGATTAAACTGAAATAATTTGTCTTCCGTTCGGACCTGTTTGTTTAAATACCTGCTTTAGAAAGTGCGATGTCGTATACCGTTCATTTTTACTAGCTCTATAAATTATTCGACGCAGGTTTCGCGAGTTTCTTGTTCGTCCTGTGGATTTATTTCTATTTTTTATAGTGTTCCTGCTCTTCTGGGGTTTACGATCCTCCTGTTTGTCTTCGGGAGGAGTTTTTTTTCTTCCCCGTTCCAGCTTCACGGCAGAGAGTGCTCTACGTAAAGTATCGGAAGGTTGGGGGGG